AATATTATTTAATTGAACGGCAAGAGTGATAATACCCAATTCACCTACTGTAAATATTTTTGGGTAATATTGGATTATGCGATTTTCGATCATATCCTTTCCTAATTCAATAAATTTTAGTGTAAGAAGCTGTAATATTGCACATCATCCCTCACATTTTTGAATATGGTATAATTATTCGAACGGTAATATTCCATCACTCTATGAATTTCTATGGTAGTATATTTCGGATTGAAGACAATGTTCTTTTTTTTAATTCAACTGTCCAAATTATTTTTTGATAACTGCTGAAATCATGGTTTTCTTTTTTTTTTTCATTTGAGTTATTGCTTCTGAAGAAGAACATGCAAAGCTCTGGTATCATCAAAAGATGAGGATATGATGATGTAAATCATAACAATAGCGGCATGATGATATTTATCAAAATGAATTGGTGCTAGTATTTGTGCAAGTGCAAGCAAACCAATGTTTTGCAATTTTGGGAAATGTACATGAACTAAAATTTTTGCTTCTTATTAAAATATGGAAGCCACAAGCTGTTAGAAAATACATTGTAAATAAAAGAATTAAAGATTGTTGAAGAGTTAGTTTAACTTTTTAAGAGTTAGTTTAACTTTTTATATAGGGGAGAGTGAGGGAATTAGTGTTGACATTTGTGAGGATATCCGTAATTTATATTTTCTCCAAAAACGACAATAAATGGTAATGGAATGATGAATGTAAAGTTCTAAGAGAGAAGTCATAACTCTAGATGTCCATATTTGTTTTCTGATGACAAATATTTCACCACTAATTAATAAATTATTCTTTCATCTGTCCTTATGAAATGTCGAAATTTTGAATTAAAGTTTTCAATAAATTTAAATTTTTTTTTCCTTCTTGTCGGGTAGTTATCAATTTGATTGTAATAAACAAAGGGGTAAGATGCTGAATTTTTAAAATTCATATCGTTTTTACCCTTTTCCTTTTTGCTGTCTGATGTAATATTTTGTTATTTTTTCTTTTGTGCTTGAATTACTTTTGTAAAGAGAATTTAAGAATTCCGAATCCTAAATTCTTATTGAATTTGTGTAGTTAGTAGTTGCTTTAGTAATTATTGTATAAGAAGTAAATACTGTAAACTTTTGTACCACTCCAGAGAGAGGGAGAGAAATAAGTGCCTTTCGTGGTTGATTCTTGTAGTTAGTTGTTGTTGTTGTTGTTGTCTCTTCAGTAGTTTGGTCAAGGTTCATATAATGATTGAATGAGAGATTTTATAAGTTTCGTAGAGTTCTGTCGTGAATATTTTGCACTTTGGCAAAAAGATGATTTGCACTGAGAACGTTCGGGATAACAATTGCAGGTAGAGCATGTCGAGTTTGTTTAGGTTCTCGAAATTTTATTAGATTTTTTACAATTAAGAAACGTATTTTGATCTCTCTTCCTGGTTCTCATGTTCCAATACTATTTTTGAAATTAATTGTCACGACTTCAATGTTAATTTGCATTACTCTCTCTTGTCTTGGTCATATCTGCTTCCATTTCAGTTGAACTGTCCTCTGGTCATTCTTTTTTCCTTAGTTTTTTTCATCAAGTCTTGCAGGTATTTGTTCGAAATACATTTTCCTTCCGTAGCGTGCGAGATTTTGCCGTGAAATAAACTTATTGTTCGGCAGATAAAATTTACTGCATAGATGACCAAATTATTTCGGTTACACATGACTTTTTTGTGCATAATGCATATACATTGATAAAGAAGATTAAATTTCATGTTTCCATATTATTTACAGTAGTGTATTACTAAGATTGGAATCGAATCTTCAAGGTTTACTGAAGGTCAAATATGGCCCAGTTAATGCCCTACAGAGACGTTTTATACCAAATTAGATAATTTTATAATTAGGTAATTAAGTAAACCAAATATTTGCTTTTTAAAAGACATGATACTTGGTCATACACATACAGCTTCAATCTTATCACCGTCTTAGGAATTTTTTTCCGAATATTATTTACATGACGTATACAAGTAATCAAGCAATAACAGTTTTCTTCAAACCGTTTTTAAAGCTTCTGAATATTGAGAGCAAAAATTAAAAGTGGTGTAAGATGTGACGAAAGCCTATTCCAAATGCTGTTGTGAAAACAGGAAATTTCCACGCCTGTCCCACACTTCCCTATATATTAACAGTTTAGGATGACATCATTCCTGTTGACCTTTCCGTTAAGAAAACTGACGGAGTACGTGTACTAGTTCACTATCGCTTCACCACGACATATTTGTTATTTCACAGGAAATTGTGTTTTTCAAATATGGGAACTCGAATATTAGTTGATTAGTGAGCTGTTGGTTACTCTCGGTTATATAAAAGTGATGAAGTTTTCAGCGGGATGTCACAAAGCTATTTATTCAGATATTTGATTTTCATGTATTTAAATATAATAGGATAAATTGAATCGCCGATTTACGAATAACTGTTAATTAATTGTTAGGGTAGATGGCAACGTCAGCAAAGTCTCGATTCTCTTTTTCTTTTGAACTCATCGTTTGAAAAGAGAACCTGTTAATAAGTAAAGTAACAATTAATGATGTGACGGAAAAGAGGTGATAAATTTATAAGAAAAGACATCTGTCGTACTCATAGCATTCAGTTGTGCGCGAAATGCGTATGAAATACTGTCTGATTACAATATATGAAATTAAAACGCTTCATTGTGATTGGATTGGATCGAAATCTGTTAAATGGAACAGAACTATTCTTACCGGAGAATGTCATTCTATTTTGTGATTTCATGAATCAACTTCTTTGACAATCGGTCACCATAATCATTGAAAGTAGTTCCGTTTCTCACTTTTTCCTGATGCTGTAATGGAACAATATACCTGTAGTTGCTATTTTCCAGCTTTTTGCAGGTAATTCATAATGACCGATTCAAAATACTTTACGACCACCAAAAAAGGTTAATTTTCGTTTCGTTTAATTCGATAAAATTTGCCATTTTAAGATGAAACAGTGAACTAAGCATCACAGGCTTTGTGTTTTAGCTAGATTATTATTTCAAAAATTTCGTACATTTTAACATAACAATCGCATCTTCAATATATTTGTGCTTTCTTCACATATTTCTTTTAGCCTTGGTTGATCTTGTTTAGGACCCAATAACGACGAAGACTGTTCTGCTCACATTGCTTGAGTGATGCTAAAATGATTGGGAAAAATTGATTTGAAAATTTGAAGATGCGTGTATTTGCATTGTAATAATGACTTAATTGATTTTTGAATTGTTTTAGAACAAAAGTAGATTCTGAAATAAACTGTGTTCTTTGAAATATATTTTGGTTCATCCTACAAAGAAAAAGAATGTAAGGAAGTTGTTGTGAATGCTTCATTTGCAGGTGAAATATTTGAGCTGAAAAATGAATTGAATTCGGATAAGAAGGAAAAGAAGAGAGAAGCAGTGAAGAAAGTTATAGCAAGTATGACTGTCGGTAAAGATGTCAGGTATTTTTGCTGAATCCAGCAGTTTCTTCGTTTGGATAATCAGTTTATCAGTTTATCACAACTTCCATAGTCACGAATGAAAACAGAGACAAAGTTAATGTGCGTTTACAAAATTCAGGTCCAAATTTGATTTTTTTTAGTGCGTTATTTCCGGATGTAGTCAACTGTATGCAAACAGACAATGTTGAACTGAAGAAGCTAGTTTATCTCTATTTGATGAATTATGCCAAAAGCCAACCAGATCTTGCAATTATGGCGGTTAATACGTTCGTGAAAGTTAGTTTTTCTTTTTTTCTCTCACAGGATCTTTAAAATGCAGGATTACCTGGACAGGTGTTGTGCTTTGCTAGATAGTACAGCTATACCAAAGACAGTCGGGCACCAATTCTTCATGAACTACTACCGCGTTCTGAGCCTACTTTGGTGATTAATTTATTCACATCGTGGAGTTAATGT